GAATCTATATTTTAATTTATAAAGTGTATGCTACTATAATATTTTTATATTAGGATATGATGTGATATGAATGCCTTTAATCATCTTGCATCCCAAAGGCATGCTGTCATTTACTGACACCATGGACAATTCCTCAAATTTAGAATTAGGCTAATATTCTTGGAGTTTGCATTGTTTTCTTAGAACAAAACAATAAATTATCATCAGTGAGACAAAGTATAGAATCACACAGGCTTTTTAAAATATGAAATTTATTATCACAACAAACTCATATATGAAAGGAAAACATTGTTTAGCCTGAAATGGAATATGTGTGTATATTTTAGTCATTAAATCACAACGCTTGAATTACCCCAGTTGCATTAACAAATAATCAGGTGTTTGATTTCCAGTACTTGTGCAACTGGTTGGGATAAGATCAGAAGTTAGTGTGACACAGTGGCACCTGAGAATACACAGTTCTCTATGCTTGCACAGAAATAATAGCTACTTGGTTTACACTACTATTATTCTCTATGCCATCTACTACAATACACCACACCACAATTTCTAAACTCTTTGACTGTTTTGTTTTTTTTTTAATGGAATCACCTAAACAGCTAGCATCATATAGAACCAGAATTTTCCAATACAGCTGTCTGGTGTCCCTGGCACATGGTAGATCTGAATTTAGGTCATAAACAACTTGGAGATGTCTGATGCCCAGGGCTGCAGGGGAAGGTGAATTAAACCCTGAGAGGTAGCACGTAGCACTTCTCTATGGTGACCCACTTTGCCAAACACCCAGAACAACATGGAGAATCACAACTGAGTGACGATGGCGAAAGCCATTTGGTTGTAGAGAGGAGCAATAAGGAAGTACAGAACACAGATTTGCAAGGAGAGGATGATATTAAAAACAAAAGCAGAGAGAAAGAAATGTCCCAACTGCAATGTCCTTGTAAGAAATTCACAATATTCTTACCCAAACATTTTGAGTGTCTTATTCATCAAATTGTACTAATGCTGATCCTTGGCCTTGGCAACAATATTCTTGGAATGGGAAATTTGTTTATATAGTTTTTGTCCAGGTTGCTTCACCAGTTACCCAATAAGTACAAGGTTCAGTTTTCATGTTGGCTGGTTGGCTCTATAGAGAAAAGATGCATGCATTTGCTATAGCTTGTACGTTATCCAGTTTGGCTCTCTCCTAAGTGTAGATCATTTATCATGTAGATAGTTTGGTATAATTGATTGTAATTATTGGAAGGACAACTATAAACAATTTCTCTCTTGATAAGGGTAGTTAGTTAAGAAATACTGTTACTTTTACTGAGCCCCTTACCACCTATACTGTGCTTAAATTCTCTAGATGTATTTTTGTCATTTAAGTCTCATCACACTGCAATTTTTTTTGTTTGGTTTTTTGAGACAGAGTCTCACTATGTAGTTGAGACTGACCTGGAACTCATTATGTAGCCCAGGCAGGTCTCGAACTCACAGCAATCCTCCTGACTCAGCCTCCTGAGTGCTGGGATTATAGGTGTGCATTACCACCCCTGGCCAAACTACCATTTTCAAAGGTAAGGAAATAGGCTTTAAAAAGTTAATGACTTGCTGTGTAAGTCATGTAGATATTAAAAAATAAAGCTGGAATTTGAACATAAGATAATTTACATCTGTTTAGCATATTATGGCTTACTAATTGCATTTACAAAGATTCTTTCACTTCATATTCCCAGACAGACTTGTGAGATAGTCAGAAGTTATTATTATATGTTTTTAAATGTGGGAATGAAGACTTTGAAATGTCACTCAGTTATCAAGTGTCAGGGCCAAGTGCTAAAATTCAGGCTTCAGGATCTTTCAATTATTAGATAGCCATGGTCAAACATATGTGTATTTATTGTAAAGCTAAAGTCTATATAGTGCAAAATAAAATGGAGCTTTCATATTTGTGCAGATTATCAGCCCTCATAGAACCCAGCCACTTCATTTTTACTTAATGAAATTAAGATCATGGATGAAATGTTGTTAACAAACCAAGTATTTTAAATATTAGAAGCATTTACAAAATACCAACAGGGTGATAATAGAAAGCTTATATTCTCTGTTACTTATTCAATTTTTAAACTGGAAGAATAAAGCTTTTCTTTGATTGAAGTCTGAAAAGCATTTCTTCTCCCCCAAAATTATGAGATACCAAATGCATTTGTCATATTATTTTTAATATAACTTACTTCAGTAATGTTAATTTTAGATGAAAATTATATATTTGATTAGTAAGGAATGACTTTCATTTTTTAGAACTATAATTTAAAACTTTACCTTTTGCTGGTTGTTGAAATTGCACAAGTACAGTATTTTTTAGCTTTAAATGTCTCAAGTTTTAACTTGAAATTGCCGACAATTGAAAAAAAGTTTTATATTTTAAAGCAGATCTGCTTTTAAATTGGTGGGGGTAGTAGGAGGATGACAATCTGTTTTAAACACAGAAAGAATAAATTTAGAGTTTCAACTCCTATTCCTGAGTAGTAAGGTACATTTGTAAGCTCACTTTAAGGTATGTGTGTTTAACTTGATTTTTATACAAATTGATAAATCAGAACTGGTAGCCAGTGGTTCCAAGTGCTAAACTCGTGAAGTGGAATTATTATGTTCAAGTGACAGTATTTCAAAATCTGTTTTATTCACAAATGTAAATATATAAGGAGGTGAATGTATTCATCCACATACACACATATAAAAACACACAGTGCACATGTGTGGGAGGTGGAGATTTTCCAGAATCTCTCTTAACTAAGAAAATGCTATTCACTTGCTCCTATTTTTTGTGTTACTAAAATTATGCATCCATGTTCTTCTATGTAAATATATGTGTCTGAATATATGTTTATATATGTATTCATTAATTTAAAAATAAAAGCAAAGCTTTAACCTATGCATGTAAATAATTACTGGATATTTGAGCACAGTTGTCTTTGTATAGAATCTACTCAAATCAAACAATTAGAAATTTCTTTTAAGTATCTGCTCTGTATTTAGCTGTATGTAAAGAAAAATATTCAGAAGTGTAAGAGATTCTTGCCCTTGTTTTTAAGAATTATAAAAATAGGTACCATGCATTGGTGAGGATGAGTATAGCAGTAAATTTCAGATTGCCGCAGAGGGTGGAAATTTGTTCAGTCACTCTGGAAATCAACTAATGCCAGTTAGTCAAATTGAAGATGAATATGCCTGAAGACACAAAGATTCCAGTTCTAGATATGTGCTACAAGGAATCTCTTGGATGTGTGCATACAAAGAAATGGAAGAAAAAAGGTGAATTACAACATTTTTTGTAATAGCAATAAACTGGAAAGATTCCCCAAACCTACCAACAGTAGAATAAATGCATAGGAGTATTTCTATCCAATAGAATTTTATAGGTATAAAAATTGCTATGGCTATAGGCACATATGAATAAAGCTCAAAGACATAATTTTTTTAAAAAATCAGAAAAATATTCTGACATTTCTTGTTGCTGAGACAAAATACCCAACACCCAAAGTTAAAGAAGGAAAGGTTTATTGTAGCTCACAGTTTGTAGAGATTTCAGTTCATAGTTGGCAGCTTCCAGGGCAGGGTGGCATGGCAGAGGAGAAACAGTTCATGGCAGGAAGAAGGAAGAAGGCAGAAAGTAGCAGACAGCAAGCAACAAGTGAAAAGCAATAAGCAGCCACAGCTGCCCTCTTTCTGTCCTTTATATTCTGTCCAGGCTAGGTCAGGTTCCATTTACACCCAGGGAGGGTCTTACTATTATCCACTCTCAGAAGTATACCAAACCAATAAGTGGACTAGTTTAGTAATTATTCATCCTTGATGCCAGCATCACACATTTAATCCCAGCATTACATACTCTAGACCCAGCCACCTCTTAAAAACCCCACCTGTACTCACATAAGGCTTAGGGGAGACATGTAGACACATGCCATAACAAATATAATCAGTGTGATTCTATTTAATATATATATATATATATATA